TATATATATATGTAGTTTTTTTCCATTTTTAAGAGAGCAAGATTATGAATTCTTAACAATTTAAGAGGATCTAGAGTCTTGCAGTGAAAGAAATAATCTATTTCACTACATTACATGTGAAATGCTGGGAGTTAACTAGGCCAAACAATCCCATTATTCACTGCACAGCGTGGCTGTGCACAACAGATTTGGTTTCTTCACATTTTCATCTTGAAAGATCACAGAATCTGCTCCAAAAACGCATCTGGAGACGTCAAGGAAAACCCACCTTAACTCCTCCTGATTGTTGTGAGGTGGGGTTGGAAGTGAAGCAGGAACATCCACAGTTTTAGGGCCCTGAGCCATTGCTCTTGCTAACAAATCATCCTGGGGTCTGAAAGGCAACTGGAACTGCTTTGGTCCCAGAGCTTTGGTAACTAAAAAGAGAAATGCAGAGCTCAATGAGACACCTGTACAGCTCCTCCATTGATAAATATTCTGTGTACTGGGGTAGTGGTGGCTCCCTGATACAACCAAGGCACTGCAGCAGATGCAAATATCACTCTCATCCACTCCTAGTTCAATAATTTTTGACCATTGATGATTAATCTCCACATTTACAAAAAATGTGCAAATTTTGAGCAAAAAGGGCTCAAAAGGTTTTTGAGTGGGCCTTCTGCCAGTATGAGAGGATTTCTGTTTTACTTAAAAAACCAAACCAAACCAAACAAAAATCAACTTTGTAACAACAAAGGAAAAGGGGCTGGAAAAAAGGACTTTAACCACTGAACAGTCCTTATGAAAAGGGAGTGTAAAGTTTTTGTTTAATAGAAAGTAATCTTAATTGACCAAATTACAAGCATCAGAATATATATAATCACTACCCATAAAGCCTGCTGAGGATACCTTTAGGGGGACTATTGAGTAGGCTCAACTTACTGCTTAGTCATTTGTAATTGATGTAAAAAAATGGTCTTTTCTTTTTCATTTCTTAAAAGTTTCTTCACTTTTCTCAACATGTTTTCAAAGGGGAAAGGGAAAACATTATATATTGACATTATACTGGTGTAAAAGTGGGATAATGATGATTACAACCTTAAAAAGCCCTGGCATACTGTTTTTGTAAAGGAAGACTGTGGCAGCTGAAAAGCATCCCAGTTATCTATTCTGTAATTTGCTCCAAACTTGACCCATTCATTGTGGAAACAACACGTATGAGCCTTACCGTCGTGACCTCCCAACATACCAGCCTTGCCAGCAAGCTCCTCGGTGGTCGCGAAGCCATTCACCAACTTCTGGCATGCCACCGGCGGTGGTGTGGGAGGAAGAGAGGCTGGGGGTGTCGGAGGATTGCTCAGGTTATTCTGCTGCACGAAATTAAAGAACTGTAAATGAGCCATGGATCACAAGGTGACAACTTGCCTTGTTGTAGTACTACACAATGTAACCCACTCTTATTTTTACACCCAGAGACAGCACCGATAAGCAGCGATAGTTAATTCTCAAGAATGCAATGAAATACATTATCTACTGTAAGAGACACAATGTTTTGCTTCTCTTCTCTCAGTGATGTTATCAGAGAAACAGTTTACATGAGGAGTATACATTACTAACAAGACATAGCTAAATTTACAGGAAGGCACAAAAAGTGTTTTTAGAAACAGTTTGGGAGCCCCAACAAGTTCCTACAGGTTACGCAAAGGTCTGAACTGAGGACTGAGAGAGCTCTTCCACAGCCACTCGCCATCACCACACCCAAGCCAGCTTACCCCATTTTCGCTAAAGGGGAAGCTTCCTCACACTTGGCACAGGCTGAGGTTTCACTGAAGCAGTTACCATGGAGAAGCAGACACTGCAAGTTCACACTCCAGGCCACTTCTTGCTGGCTTAGTCAACTGCCCATATTTTAGCCAAAAATTAAATGAGAACTTCAGTATCTTTTCCTGCCACAGTCATGCCTACAAAGCTGATACTTACTACTCTTGACCACAACAACTATTTCTGCTTGGTTAGACTCTCAGCTTACACACAGGTGAGGCTGCAGTAAACACCACTGGTTTTTATTAAGTTGCTGAAGTTTTATGTTAGGGCAGCCAAGCAGCAAATTCAATTCTGTCTGTTCACTATGTTGCTGCTCTCCCAGTATTATCACTCCCATCTCAGAGATTGAGTTTTAAATTCTGTGGTTATTAGCTCGTCAACAAATAGCCCACTTCGTTATAGTCCTCAGGTTCTTAGTTAGGGCTTAGTGGACTAATGAGGAAAGTCTATTTCCCATTTAGTTCACATTAAGAACTGCTTTAATGCTTTCAATGACTGCAAAGTACTCAGAATTCAGCCTTTTCTGCTCCATAAAACTGTAATTACAACTGTCACTACTTAGCATCCATTTGTAAAAGGAATACTTGTAGGTTTTAATTAGTTTACAGCACAGTTTCCAGAACTGATTTCCAATTTCAGAGTCAAACAAAGGTGAGTGTTTCACCACCGCACCGTCTATCCAGTCTAGCAACACAAAATTATCTTCTGGTTGTGTAAAAGGCAGAACTCGAACCAACCAGCAGTGATCATGGCATGGGCTTCCTTCCCACAGAGAACACACCATGGAAACCCAGATTAAGACCATACCTTGTAAATGAGCTGGGAGTAGTAATCTGAAGCCCCATCAAGAGTAGCACTACCAAAACTTCCTACGAGCCGATTGCCACCACTGAGCTGGCCACTGCCATAGGGAAGAAAGTGCGCAAAGCTCACTCCAATTATTGGTTCCATCAGAGGCAGAAGAGAAAGCTGCTGTATTAAAAGAAAAAAAAGTTAGAAATTAATTTAACCATAACTATAATTAATTTAACTTTAATTACAGAAACACTGCAAGATCTCCAAACATCGGTGGAGCGGTTTCTAGTCTAAAAAATAATCAGCATTTACCCACTATCAGAAAACTGTGTCAAGCACAGGCCTCTGTTTGCTGGGGAAGGTGGTTCCTGTCCATTGGAGCCACGACTCAGCCACAGAGGCTGCCAGAGCCGACAGGAACTCCATGGCTTTGAGATTACCAAACGCCTGCCACATCAGTACATCTTCCAATTTGAAATAAATCAAAACTTTAAATTTCCTGGTTACACAGAAGCTTTCACTTTCTCCACCCTGTACTCGAAATTCAACTTTGTTGAATCAACTTCATTTCCACCATGAGAGGTTCCCTCTTTCCAGTGTCCTCTTGACACATTCCCCAGGCTCTGTACACCTACCTGTTTTAACTGGATGAAGGTATCAGCGTTTGGGTAAAGAGCTTGCTTTTCTTCTTCCTCTTTTTTTCTTTTCTTGGACCGAGGAGCTGCCTTCTCTCCTGTCCTCTGAGTTCGCTTATTTCTCTGTTTCTTGGTTTCGGGTCCTACCTCTGTTCTCTGTAGCTGGCTGTTACTGCACCCAAATGCACCTTGCATCGGGTTTCCTGCAGTTTGCTGATATAAAAAAAAATGAAGCAGAATTTTTGACATTTTGACATTCGGTTCATTCAAATTTACTGCACAATGGTTGAAAGATCACACACAATATAATAAACCTCACCAAGAACAAACTGTATTTTATGGTTTGTTTACTTTGCTGTCTCACTGGCAACTGTAACTGCTGCACTGTCCCTACACTCATGACTTGTCATTAACACCACTGACATCTGAAAACATCATTAAACCTCAAAGACCAGAAACACTTTCTTTTGAATACCTCCTAAAATAAAGTTGCAGCCTTAGAGCTGGTTACAGAAAACAGGCGTGTAAGTTAATGTAATACAAACGTATTTTGAGGTTAGAAACACAGACAGTATAGTGAAACACTCCTGGAGTGCACCATTGCTTAAACACTTTCAGTACGAATTTGCAAAGCCATTCTTCACACAAAAGGCATCAGAAAAAGCAACCAGAATAGGACTTGGTAGTGCAACAGATAGTGGAAAGCCAAAGAAAGTCCAACTTCTTTTTATCAATTATTGTTTTAAACAGCTCTACATGACCTCTACCACAAGTACTCTCACCACTATTCCTGCCACATACGTTTTAACCGTGGATCCTGAACACCTACCTAGGTTACCTGCTGCTCTTTATCAGTCTCTTATCTCACAGAGGAAAGCAGCACACAGACACTGTATACTGTACAGAAACATACTACGAGGTAATTAAGAGTCACACCGTAAAATCTTGTCTTAATCACAGCAAATTTTAGGAAGTGGCATTTTTAAAGAGGATTATCTATAGAAAATACTTTTTTTTTCCATTTTAATAATTTCTGAACACCCTGATCTATGAAGTCACATTAAAACTCATTCTTTTTGTAACACCGATGATTTACTCATGGAGAAGGTGGCAGGAAGGGAGGTAAAAATCCCTTAAAGCTGTTCATTCCCCCCTTGTGCAGGCAGGTTATCTCCCCCCCTTTTCCCAAACGCCTGTGGCAGTGGCACAGACCAGCCTTTGATCACTGATGACCACGGTATAACAAAACCAGTAAGAGTCTCACCATTCCTTCAGCTGGATTCTGCTTCTCTGCCAACTTCTTATCCCCAGAAGCCTCCTCTTCTGTTCGGCCACTGTTCTCCGATTTCTGACTTAGAAGAGATGAGGATTTCTTATTTTTAAGCAGGTGTTTCAGCAGTTCATTCCCTGACTCCCCTTTTGCTGCTGGGACGCTCGCTGGCTGTGCTGGGCTCTGCGCTGGAGCTGCAGGCTGTGCTGTCACCTTATCTTCTTCCACCTTAATACTGCTTGGATTTTCTGGTTTAGGCTCAGCTTGATCCGAGCACTGATCAGTTTCTGCCTTTTCTAGTTTAACCTCCTGAATGCTGGTAGGGCCATCCGTTTTGGCCTTCTCAGTCTCTGTATTTACACTGGGCTGTTTCTGTGGCAGGCTGCTGCTGGGGAGCTTGCACTCCAGCTCTGCAGAGGTCTGGCTCTCTCCCGCACTCGACGTTGATGGACCTGTTAACTCCACCGACTCCTGTTCATCTTGGTGACGTGAAAGTTCATTGGGGGTGTTAATCGTGGGGGTGGAGGTAGAATCAGAAATGGTTGGGGTTGACGGCGCAGTTATATCTGAATGTGGAGTTGACGGGGCTTTTATTGACTCGGCATCATCGTCCTTTTTCTTCTTTCGCGTCCTTTTCTTTTTCCCTTTCTCTTCAGGGATTATGTCTGAGTACAGCTGTATGAGAGACTGGCTGGATCCGGGGAAGTTTGCTGCCTGGGGCACGCTGCTGTCCGAGCCACACGGGGCACCGCTGCTGAGCGCTGCAGATGAAGGTACAGCAGAACCGAATGGGGGCCTGGCTTGGTTCTGTGTAAAGGTGGCCCCAGGGACATTCCCATGCGCTTGCTTCACATTATGGAAATTTGGGGCTCCACCTGGAACAGCAGACGCATCAGGTCCAAAAGCTGCAGGTCCCACCGGCCTTCGCTCGCTGCTTTGCATAAAGTTCGTGGCAGGAGGCGAGGTCACGGGACCTTGCTGCAGGATTTGCCCCATTGGTTGCTGTTGATGCTGCGGAGACTGCTGAAGAGGTCGTGGGGTTTGAATAAAATCACAGGGTAGATCAGAATTAAAGAAAGGTATCTGAGATAAGGATGTTTTGTTATTTAATTCAGACCCTATCATACCATGCTGTTCTAGCTCCATCCTCTGCTGTAAAGCCCTCTGTCGATCTACCTCCTGCATAAGCTGGATGCGCTGCCGTTCCTGTTGCTCTCGTAACCGCTCCTTTCTTTCCCGCTCCTGAAAACTTTCACTAAAAGGGTTATTGTCCTCAAACTCCACCCTCGGTGGTGGCCCCGACTGTGCAGCTGCGTTTGCACCAGGCACAGGAGCTGGTGTACCAGGAGTAATCGGCAACGGCGTCATTGGAGGCTGCATCCTTGCTGGATTCATGGAAATGTGACTTGCAGGGGCGTTTGCAGATTGCCATCCAGGCAAATTTGGCATTCTGGTTGGATTGGACTGCCCGGAGATTACCACTGGGTGCTGCTGATGCTGGAGCTGCTGTGGCACCATGGGGAAGTTCTGCTGATTGATTGCTGGTGATGCTCCTCCTGGAACCATCGGTGGCTGAGCCTGGACGCCTGGCATGAGCGCGTGGGGTGCCAAGCCACACTGCTGCTGCTGCTTGATGCGGTACTCCTCAATCAGCTCTGCATGCTCCTTCTGCTGCTTGCGAATCTGGAGATTTAAAAAGTCATCATTCATCTCTGACATCTACTGACTATGCAAGTAGCACAAAACATGGAACTCACCATTTCAATTTCAGCAGACAATGAACCTCAGGCTAAAACAGTGTTTCTGCACAGTCTTATTTTTTCTCCCTTTTTAAGGCTAAATAACCACATTAGAAATACTATCCATCCCAATTGTTTTTTTAAATAACAGTGCTTCAAAGTTCTTATTACATACCAGGACTGCACTGCGCTAGAGGATACACAACCCTAAACCAAAAGTGATCCTTGTCCTACAGATCTCGTCATCCATGCACAGGATAACAACACTTAGGAACACAGAG